TTATATTTCTTTGCTTTTTTATCCTTTGTTCGCCAAAATATTAAACCCAAGTCTTTATTGATATCATTAGATTTTGTCAAGTGCTTTTCAATTTTGTACCAGATTTCACTCTTAACATTATCAAACTGAGTAAAGATACACTGTGCTAGCATGCCAGCTCTCCAGTAATCTTTTAGCTGGGGAATTACAAGGCCTCCTTCCTTAACTTTGAACGCTAACCATTTAGCACTGATTTGAGAATGTTTACCTAATCATATAAATTTGTTAAAAATAGATTGAGCTAAATTCAACCAGCTATCGGGGCAAGGTACAGGGATCATATGGAATAAGTTGATCCATTTGGGTAGAATATAGGATTTTATAATATTTATTCTCCCCCACCATGATATTTCCCAAGTTTTCCATTATTTCCATTTTTTACTACAATATTTTAGTAGAGACATAAAATTCACCTCCATTAACTCATAGGGATCTTTTGTAATTTGAATACCTATATGTATAAAGGAAGAGATCGAGCAATTCAACCCAAAGTTATCATATAGTGCTTTTCTGGTCTCCACCAATATATTAACCATCAATGCAGCTAATTTGCTTATATTCAACTTATACCTCGATAGTATTGAAAACTATTAATAATCATCATAAATTTGAACATAGAAAAAACTGGATCCGAAAAAGTTAGGACCACGCTGTCAGCATACATTGTAATCTTGACACTATCTGTTAGAACTGGAAAGCCTTTAATTTGATTATCTGCTCTTATTGCAATAGCCAGTGGTTCAATTACCATTAAATAAAGTATTGGGGGGGAAGGACACCCCTGCCTGGTTCCATTTTTTAACCGGAAAAATTCTGAAGAGAAACCAGCACCCATTATTCTTGCTGTGGAGAACGTGTATAAGGCCATTATAAAATTAACTATTGTGATGAAGTGCCCTTCGCCACTTGTGGAGGGGACTGCTGGCTAGCCTCCTGCCTTCCGACTATGGCCCCTGTGCTGATAGCTGTATTTTACCCTGCAGAAAGGTTTATTTGTGTATTTCTGCCAGGGCGTTCGGGACTTTCAGTATGTGAGTAGTGCTACCCCAGATAGCTATGCCATGGAGCCTATTCGTGTAACAAAAGACTATGGAAAAGACTTTGGCTCCATGGCGATTGAACTGTATGTATGTGATCTGAGCGCCATTCGGTAATAATGTGTGCCCAGATCTAAGCTATCTGGGGATATGTTGCATGTATATGTTTTATGTAGTAATTGTAACTTTGTGTAATTTTATGTCTTTTTGTAACCATGTGGTTAATGGAGACTTCCCAATTATCTCCAGGATACAGAGGAGGGATTGTGATGTCACTGTGGGAGTGTTTTGTTTCTATTGTCTGTGATTGGCTAATATCCAATATGTGTCCCATTGTTCCATCAGGTCCCCTAGGGGAGTATATATGGAATCTCTCACACACTCGTAAATTTGTGACTGTGATTCTAAAATCCACAAATTTCAACTTGAAGTGATTATAGTGAAATGAACAAATAAAGAATAACTTCCCTTAGCAGTATAGGATATGCCCGAAGATTTCCTCATATCTTCAATTCAGTAAGTATATGGTATATAAGCTATGGGAATAAGAAATACATGGCATAGTGCAATATTGTCTGTGGTAAAATAGGTATATAAGTAAGTGCCAAATGTATATAAGTAAGTGCCAAATGTTCACTCACACTTTAACATCCCAAGAAATGCCTTAAAAAGTGTGCTTGGTGTGTCTTCTTGCTTCAATATTTGATGAATATAGATATCAAAGTAAATAATAGCAGATATATCAGTCCAACGCGTTTCTTCCCTGTTAGGGACTTCCTCAGGGACAATCTTTAACAACATTGTTGAAAAAAATGCATACAATCCTAGTTACAAACATCCCTTAATATATACCACCCCCAATTAGTCCCAATAGGTGTTCCACAGATGATTCCATTTTTCTTCAGCTGTCTGCAGCTCAAATTTGATTACTTCCGGGTTCTGTGCATCCCATGCGGTCACGTGACCGACGTGATGACGTCATGCGTTCCAACTATGCGTTCCACCTTCGTTTCAGCTGTCCATCATAATGGCAAGTTGGAATGTTGAGAAAAAGTCCCAGAAACACTGTTTCTAAATGGGAGTTTGGGTGGGGAGTGTACAAAGGGGAGTGACAAGGTAGTTAAAGAGACATTGCTGGTCTACAGATCTTATGAATAAACTTTATTTATAAAAACAAAAACGAACACACCAATAATCTATATTTACATTTGTATGTCTGTGTGCATAGATGCCTGATTCCATACTTTATGAGGCAACATGCACACAGCATAATATAATCTGAGTAAGCCAAGATAAAAATGATTACCATAAAAGTATCAAATATAATGTTACCATTGTGGAGATAAAAAAAACTATAAAAAAGCCATGAAGCATGTATAAGAGAATATATATGATAGAACTGGTAGTTTTCCTACCTTCCAAAAAACATGAAATTAAAATCAGACTAAGGCACATCTTATGCCTCTAAAAAAAAACAATATTCAGAAAAAAGGGGGTGCAAGATATAACTATGTATTCGAGAAAGCATTCCCCTAGTGTTTCTATATTTGGAAAAAAGAGAGCGGAACTATTCCTCGGCTTATTCATGTATATAACGATATACACAATCTCTAGCAGACAGGGAGAGAGAGAAGAAGAGGAAACCATTAATCTAAGAAACACCACAAGTCTATGTCTACATTTAATCCTCCTGGTTGGAGGGTTTTCAGTGTGTTAATCCAATACGTTTCTCGCTGTGCTAATTTTTTTATGAGATTGCCACCCCTCCAGTGATTATTAATTTTTTCTAAACCTATAAATTGAAAATGTTTCCAATTAAAATTTGGACATGAGTTGCTATGCGTGGGAACTGAGTGTTTATTATATTTTTTTCTAATGTTATTTTTATGTTCCAAAATCCGTTCTTTTAATTTCCTGCATGTATGTCCCACGTATTGCTTCCCACAGGGGCAATATAGCAAATATACCACATTGTTACTGTCACAGTTTATATTAGTTTTGATATTAAATTCTCTATTTGTGACCGAACTTTAAAAATTTGATGTTTTCAAAAACCTTTGTGTTAGACAAGCTTTACAGTGATTACACGAGCTGAAACCCTTAATTTCACCTTTATTGTTTTCATATTTATTTTTTAAGGCATAGCTGGGAGCCAATAAGCTTTTTAAATTTTTTGCCCTCCTAAAAATCATCTGTGGTTGTTTGGTTAATATCTCTCCTAAAATTGGATCTTTAAGTAAGATACCCCAGTGTTTTTTCAAAATATTTTTCAGTTTTTGGTGTTGAGTATTATACTGGGTGATAAATGCATATTTAAAGTTCTCCCCCTTATCTTTAACTCTTTTCTTCTTTTTAATTAAATCCTTTCTATCTAATCTTCCTGCCTCTTTAACTTCTTTGTCCAATATACATTTTTCATAGTTTTTTGACATGAGTTTATTGCATAAATGTTTGGCTTGTTCCTGATAATCGTAGTTATTTGTACAATTCCTTTTAATTCGGATCAATTGGCTCCTAGGTATAGAATTTAGCCAATTTTCATGATGGCAACTCTTCTTGTGTATAAAGCTGTTTCCCTCTGTCTCCTTAAAATGACACTTTGATTGAACTTTATTATTTGTAACATAAAATGTAATATCCAGGAAGTTTATACTTCTAGTATCACATGTATGAGTGAACTTTAAATTATAATTGTTGATATTAATATAATTTTAGAATCTTTCCAGTTCGCTTTGGGTTCCTTTCCAAATTAAAATAACGTCATCTATAAAAGGTTTCCAAAGGACCAGGTTTGCAACCCAGCTATGCCCCCTCCACACAGAGTTGGCTTCCCAATCTCGCATGTATATGTTGGCATAGCTGGGGGCAAACCTGGTCCCTATGGCTGTGCCGTTTTTTTGGAGATAAAAGACATCGTTAAAGGAAAAATAGTTGTGATATAAGATAAAATGAATGCCATCCAATACAAGGTTTCTCAAATCATTTGATGTATTAATGTCCTCCTTCATAATTTTCTCTACCGCTAGAATGCCCAATTCATGTTTGATAATTGTGTACAACGATGTCACATCAATCGTTACCCATATGTAATCTTTTTCCCAATTTCTGTTTACCATTAACTCCAATATGTGAGAGGAGTCTCTTATATATGAGGGTGCTTGTTGGGCAAAAGTTTGTAGATGGTGGTCTATAAATTCGGAAAGGCGTGATGTAACTGAATCTATCCCACTTATAATGGGTCTTCCCGGGGGCTCTACAGGGTTCTTGTGTAACTTAGGTAAAAAATAAAAAATGGGGATAACAGGATATTCAACATAGAGATATTCAGTATTATCTTTAGATATCATATTTTTCTCACAGGCATGATTTAAAAGTTTTTTTAGATCTTGATTGAACTGAATTGTGGGATCATATTTTAATTTTAAATATGTTTTATTATCCCCTAGAATTCTGTCTGCCTCTTTGAGGTAATAGTCCTTGTTCATTAGGAAAATTGCCCCCCCCCTTGTCTGCTTCTTTGATAATGACGTTCTCCATACTTTGGAATTTTTTGATACTGGCATTTTCCTCTTTAGTAAGATTAAATTTATTCTTGTTTTTATTAACTGTTTGTTGTAAATCTAATTGTTCTAGATCACTACAGACCATACTACTGAATGTTTCTAGATGATGGCCCTTCTGACCAGTAGGATAAAAATGTGATCTCTTTTTAAATTTTTTCTCATCTAATTGTAAATTCTGGGATACATTTTCTTTACCTGGATGTTTTAAAAATAATCTTTCAAATAAATTTTTGCAGGTCTATATAGGTATCAAAATAATTCATACCTTGATTAGGTGCGAATTTGAGACCTTTTTTAAGAGCTTTTAAGTCATCTGTAGTTAACTCTATATCTGTTAGATTATAGATGCCTGACTTTATTTCTAATTCCTTTTTGGATGTTCCTCTCTCCAAGAGTTTTCCTCCGCTCTCTTCCTTTTGGGTGGTGTTTCTATGGAATTCTCTAGTACGGAGAATCTGTTTTCCCATTGATTGTTGTGGGGTTTGAAGAACTGGGTTATTCGCCTTTCTTTTTGGTCTAGCTCCCTCCCTAAAAAACGTTCCTCCCTCTCATTTTCTCGGCCAGAACTAACTGTTTCTGCATAGGTTCTCTGATACGTAGAGGTGCTAGATCTCTGGGTAGGAATACTAGGTCTCTGGGTGAAGGAATTCCCTGAAGCTTGTCTTGTTCTATCTTTAGTGTAGTGGGAAGGTGGGGACTGTTTTTCTTCTCCTCTATTGCTACTACGCTTTGGTGATATGTATCGTTCCCTTCTATTTGGGATTTTTGTCCCTTTGTTAACCCAAGTGTCTGATGATTTGGTATAGGAATATTTTCTTCCTCTGAAGTTGTCCCCATATTTATTGTGATTATTTCCCCGGGGCAAATTTCGTCCAAAATCTCTATTATCACCAAATTTTCTATAATTGGATCTATTTTTTATTTTATTGATAGTAGAAAATTTATTTTTAAGTTTATCATCTCTATCTCTCAATTTCGTTTTATTTTTAACATTAGCTATTTGTTCCTCTAAATTCTTTATGTTTTCATTAATAGCTTGCTCTCTCTCTTTAAATTCTAAATTATCTCTAATTACATCTTATTGATTTTCCATGCATTTAATTTAATCTTCCAAAGATTGTCTATTTGTTTTTTCGAATTCTATGATTAATCTCATGAGATCACGGGAACAATTCTTGAATCCCATTTTCTCATTAATTCATCGTTTTCTATCCCACAGGCAGGAGTTTTCTCTACTCTTAAGCCTCTGGGAATTAACCCATCCTCCAGGTACCCTTCTAGGTAGGAGATTTCCCACCATTTCCTTGTCTCTTTTTTCATAAGTCTTTCTAATTTAGTAAAATAAACATTCTCTCCACCCCTTAAGGGGATAACCTCAGTTTCATGATGAAACATAGTTTCAAATCTGGCCTTTCTCCCTTTTTGGATGTGAGAGAGAAAGTTAGTAGCCATATTAAATGAGTGATGTGAAAAGAAAAATGAGGAAAAAACAATATAAAGAAGTATATATGGAATCTCTTACACACTCGTAAATTTGTGACTGTGATTCTAAAATCCACATACAGTGATACAAAAAATTCAACTTGAAGTGATTATAGTGAAATGAACAAATAAAGAATAACTTCCCTTAGCAGTATAGGATATGCCCGAAGATTTCCTCCTATCTTCAATTCAGTAAGTATATGGTATAGGGCTATTCCAAGCTATGGGAATAAGAAATACATGGCATAGTGCAATATTGTCTGTGGTAAAATAGGTATATAAGTAAGTGCCAAATGTATATAAGTAAGTGCCAAATATTCACTCACACTTTAACATCCCAAGAAATGCCTTAAAAAGTGTGCTCGGTGTGTCTTCTTGCTTCAATATTTGATGAATATAGATATCAAAGTAAATAATAGATATATCAGTCCAACGCGTTTCTTCCCTGTTAGGGACTTCCTCAGGGACAATCTTTAACAACAGTGTTTAATACAAATGCATACAATCCTAGTTACAAACATCCCCTAATATATACCACCCCCAATTAGTCCCAATAGGTGTTCCACAGATGATTCAGTTTTTCTTCAGCTGTCTGCAGCTCAAATTTGATTACTTCCGGGTTTCGTGCATGCGGTCACGTGACCGACGTGATGACGTCATGCGTTCCAACTATGCGTTCCACCTTCGTTTCAGCTGTCCATCATAATGGCAAGTCGGAATGTTGAGAAAAAGTCCCTCACCAGGACGCTGGTTGCTGTACCATCACCTCCTCCCGGAACTCAGGCCGCCGCTGGGGAGAGAGACCGGTTGTCTCCTCTCCCTGTGAGATGCACTGCCGCTGGGGATCTGGACCGGGTACCCAGCATCCCTGTAGGGCCGGTGGAGAGACCTTGGTCCCATCTCCACCTGCCATCTGTGGGTCTTCCCAGGACTGTTCTATAAGGTTGCTGGTTGGACAGAAGAGGGTACGGTGTCCAAGTAATCCTCTGGGCAGAGGGACGGTGGTTGGGCTATGTTGAATAGTTGATAGTAATCCTGTTCTAGCTCCCATTCGATTGTGATCAGGCGGGTGATATCTGGTTCTAGTCCAGTAGCATCAGGGAGCTCCAGTGTATCCAATCGCCTCGCCTGATGTCCCAATACCGGGACTCCTCGGTGCTGCCAAAGTCACTGTCCTCCTCCAATGCCTCCCATAACGGACCTGGGCAATCGTAGTCACTGTCCTCTGGCCTCTCACTCTCAGCCACCCAGGGGCACCTCTGGACTGAGTACCACTGTAGTGCCCGGTAAGCCTCATCTAGCCACAGTTCTTTTCTGATTAACCTCTGCAGTTCCAGCACCCACTCTCTCGGGTGCAGATACCCTAGGAAGGGCATCCTCAGCGCTGCTTGTTTCTGACTGCTCTGTGCTTTGCTTGGGAGGTTTTCTCCCCATGGACCTCGTGTCCACTCCAAGGCCTCGTGCCAGAGATCTCGCCGTATCCCATCTCTCCAGGCCAGCTCCTCCTCAGCTGAAATAGGGCCACACTCCTGGGCCAAGGCAATTTGTAGTCTCCATAGGAACTCCTCCTCGTAGGGTGACGCTACCTGGGAGGCTAGCTTGCTCCATCCCTTTGAGCTCCCCCGAAGCCAGGGGCACTGCACGAGTGCTAGCATTGCCCTCGGTTATAAATCCATAACTCCACACATTACCGGTGTCTCTGAGTTGCTGGTCCCCGCAATAGAATGTTACAGAACGCTGGCACTCCGACTGAGTACCTCCACCAATCGATGCGCCTTGTGCTCGCTGAGGACTCCAAGCACTCCAACCGACACCATCAGCACTGCAGACCCCACTTCCAGCGATGCAGCTGCGCCGGGGTCTCGTCGTCTCCAACCACCATGGACCCACGGCCAGGGTCCAGCTTCCAGTGGGGAACCTCTCTTTCCCCAGACAATAGAAACAGGAACAAGCTCTTAACAGAGCTTAGTGATCATACCCTGGGGAGTATAGTGATTATAGCAATCCCCAGAGTGTAGTTCTCCAATTCCCCAAACATGAGCCAAGGCTTCAAGAAAGGTACAAGATGATCTGCTTTTAATGACCACACACTGGCTTTTATGCAAGTCCCCATGCAAGGGGACATCCCACAGGGTGGGACACAGTACAACCAATCATTCACAGGAAAACCCTAACCACACTGGCCCAGATGGGACCGCGGTCTCTGTGCCAGTCCTACGGAGATGCTGAACGGGTGGTCCAGATCCCCAAACTTCCCCGCAGGAATGCCAGGAGGAGGTAAGTAAGCCTCCCCCTCCCCAGCTACATCCCGACCCTGTCCTGAGGGCAGTGGATGAGCCTGCGATACCCACTGACCTCCTCCCAGCAGAAGAGCTGGCACATGAGCAGAGCGCTGCTGGCCTCTGCCCTACCCTTGTTCAGAGCCTGAGACCCTGCAGGCTATCACAGTGGAAGAGCTGGCATCAGGGCAGAGCACCGCTGGCCTCTGCCCCCCAAGTAGCCCCAGCTGTTTGCTTAGCTGCACCAGAGAGACCGAGGATGCTGAACTGTCCCGCTACAACCTGGGACCTACAGGCCAGTACTGTTTATTGTGGGGGGGGCTACTCTGCTGATTTTTCTTTGTGGGTGGGCTACCTGACTAACCTAGGTACTGACCGACAGAAGGTCAGGTACCTGTTTAGTCTTCCCCCCAAAGGGAAGATGTGTGGCGAAATTAACCTCGCCACTTATGCCTGGAGAGGACTACTTGCCAGCCTCTTGCCATGTGATTATGGTCCCTGGGAGGTTTGGCCCTTTATTTGGGCTAATAGATTTATATTGTGCTGCTGCTGGCCCTTTAAGAACCGTCTGGGGACATATTGAGACTTTGTGCGACAATGCCCCTTTAAGACTATGTCCCCAGTGTCCCCAGACTGTTAATATACTGTGTTCCTGGCTTTCTCCCACTTGGTTCAGTAAATGGGGCTTACTGAACTAGGTACCACACAGGCGGACCACCCAGAAGTGGAAGTGTGCAGGCAATTTACCTCCCAGACTGGGAGCCTACTGTAGGTAAATTGCCGAACGCTGGGTGGCCGCCGTTCGCGCAATCGAACACGTGGTGGCGGCCATCTTTTTGTATTCAATGCGGTCAGCAGTATGTGTAGCCAAATCCATGGAACTGAAATCGGCTACACAGTTCCGCGAACACCGCTGAGCCTTACCTTCTCCCACAATGATTTTGCATTCGGCGATGGGACTTAGGTCGGTCAAAAAGGGACTTCCAGCTAACTTTTTAACCCCTGGATGGAATTGGCTGAATTTTGGTTATGTTTATATTTAAAGTGTGCTGATTCTGAATATGCATGTTTTATGTGAATATGATTGTTAAAGTTACAGTATATGTGTAAAAAGTGTATTTTTCCTGCCTGTGATAAATTACATTAACCCATTGTGTTCAGTAATTATATCACAGACAGAGGGGAGGGATTGTATGTTTGTGCTGGGTGTGTTTACGGTTTTCCTGTAAATGATTGGTTGTACTGTGTCCCACCCTGTGGGATGTCCCCTTGCATGGGGACTTGCATAAAAGCCAATGTGTGGTCATTAAAAGCAGATCATCTTGTACCTTTCTTGAAGCCTTGGCTCATGTTTGGGGGGTTGGAGAACTACACTCTGGGGATTGCTATAATCACTATACTCCCCAGGGTATGATCACTAAGCTCTGCTAAGAGCTTGTTCCTGTTTCTGCCATCTGGGGAAAGAGAGGTTCCCCACTGGAGCTGGACCCTGGCTGTGGGTCCAGGGTGGGTGGAGACGGCGAGACCCCAGCGCAGCTGCATCGCTGGAAGTGGGGTCTGCAGTGCTGATGGTGTCGGTTGGAGTGCTTGGAGTCCTCAGCAAGCACTAGGCGCATTGATTGGCGGAGGTACTCAGTCGGAGTGCCAGCGTTCCATCACAAATATATTTTCACATCTACATTTAATAAAGAGATATGTCTATAACTCCATATGATTTCTGGATTTTTATTTGGTTTGAGTGGGGATAATATTGGCTTTCAGCATTTCTCTAGGAATTTGTCCTGTTGACATAATTTGATTAAATACCATAGTAAG